AAGATTTGTTTTTAATGGAAAATGTATAGGAATGAAAAATGTGTTGATTTGATTTGATTTGATTTGATTTGATAATTTCAGGGGACAAAATATGTGTATGATACTTTCTTGAAACCATATATCACAAAGCATGAAGCAGAGATTGATCGAACCTTGTCGGAATTGAAAACTAGGGCTGGAGATTCTGCATCTCTTTACCTCTCAAGAGTTATGAGTTATGCTCAGACAAGGGCTTTTGATATTCTTCAAATAGTTATGTCACAATCCATCCAAAGACCTCCTCAGGTATATATGTTTCATTTCATTTTCTTACTTTTTTTTTTCAACTCTTCACCTATTGGCCGGAAAATTAAAATATTAAATGGGTTGGATAAAAATGTATTTTATTTTGACATGAAATTACAGGCAGCTGCAGCAGCTCCTGCTCCAGCTGCACAAGCGGCACCAGCAGCTGCTTCTGCTGAGTCAGAAGACGCTGGTGGGGCTCGTAACAGGTTGAAGAAAACTGGCGGTGCTGGCGCAGCTCGCTAAATCTTAGGTATTATATTATATGACGGGTCATCTTCTCCATGTGTTAGTCTGCAAGTTGTGATTATTTAGGCATTGGAGCTTGATGTAACCTTTTTGCTCTCTTTATATATTATATTATTCATTTAATTACTAAATATGTATTATTTGTTTGTCAATAAAACAATATTTATACAATGTTGTTTTGACACTATATGTGTGCATATATATTGTCTCTTGAATATTGTCTACACCCAAAAAATATTAAAATAGTAGTTTATAGAAAATGAATGATTATCGATTATATATTTATATTATATCAAAATATTTCATAAACCAATCAATCATGTTTGTATTGTAGAAATGGGTTAATATTATAAATGAATAACGAGAGATATATTTTTTTCTTGAATATCATTGTTTAAAACAGAATCATCATATGGTAATCAACTGAAATTTTGTGTTTATAAAATATCACTATTTTAATGGTATTGTCGAAAAAAAATAGTTGGTTACTCATCTATTATATAACGTAGAAACAAAAAGTTCATGCAGTTAGGTTTTAATTTAATGTTTGTTTGGTAATTTAAAAAGCCTTAAATTTTTTTACTTAATATTTTATAATGTTTTATATATATACATAAATACATGGGATTGTAAAATTATGTTTGTAAATGTGATTTGTGATAATGTAATACTCCATAAATAATTAATTATGATTTTAAACTATAAAGTCAATTTTTATGTAATTATGTTAAATATTTGAAATTTTATAATCGTTTGAACTTTAAATATATGTTATTTGATGTTGAGTTTTTCAAACACATACTTTGAAAAGGTGAATAAATTGTCAATATTTATGGTTTCATGTCATTCATTAATGATAATCATAGGTGGATGTTTACTATAAGTAACAATAGGAAACTCAATGAGTCTTCTATATAAATAGATATGGTTTCTTTACACATATATTGTTTTTAATGAAAGGGAAAAATAGAAAAACTGAATGTAACCTCGTTGCTTTCTTTATATATTATATCGTTCATTTATAAAATATGTATTATTTGTTTGTCAATAAAACAATATTTATACAATGTTGTTTTGACACTATATTTGTGCACATATATATTGTCCTTGTTATGTTGTCGAACACCCAAAAAGTAGTAGTTTATAGAAAATGAACGATTGGTTCTATTATCTCAAAATATTTCATAAACCAAACATGTATTGTAGAAAAGGGTTAATGTTATAAATAAGTAAAGAGATATTTTTTTAAGTATCATTGTTTTAAAACATATGGTAAATAACTACAATTTTGTGTTCATTAAATATCGAGAAATTTTATGAAATAACCAAAATTTAAGGGGTGTTTTAAGTATTTAGCCACAAAATTTCGAGTTTTGTAAAATGACCACCAGATCCGCAGAAGGGGGCTCTGCGGATCGTTTAATGTCTCTGAGGAACTTAACACACCTCTGCGGAAATGAGGTGGCAGCACTAAAAGACAATTTTTTTTTTTTGGTTTTTAAGGTTCTGCAGAGAGGTCTCTGCGGATCACTTAATGTCTCTGATGAATGGGTAATACTTAAAAAACCCAAAAAAAAATTCTCTTAAAAAATTGTTTATACCCATTTCCCAGAGAACATTAAGCGATCTGCAGAGGTGTTCACAAGATCCGCAGAGACACCTCTGGGGAACCTTAAAAACCCCCAAAAAAAAATTGTCTTTTACTGCTGTCACCTCATTTCCGCAAAGGTGTTTTAAGTTCCTTAGAGATATTAAGCGATCCGCAGAGCCCCCTCTACGTATCTGGTGGTCATTTTATAAAACTCGAAATTTTGTGGTAAAATACTTAAAACACCTCTTAAAATTTTGGTTATTTCATAAAATTTCTCTAAAATATCATTTTAATGGTATTCTTTCAGAAAAAATAATAATTGGTTACTCATCTATTATATTTTTAAAAAACCAATAGTGTTTTATAAAGTAATATAATTAATTACTCATTTAACGACATTAACACTGTATAAAAACAAAAACTTCATGCCAATTAGGTTATAATCTAACGTTTGTTTAATAAATTCAAAAGCCTTAAATTTTTTTACTTAGCATTTTGTAATCCTTTATATCTTTACATAAATACATGTGATTGTAAAATTTTGTTTTTAAATATGATTTGTTATAATGTAATACTAGATGTAAGACCCATATATTGCATGGGTTAATTAATTAATATATATATATATATATATATATATATATATATATATATATATATATAAAGGTCTAAATATTTAAAAATTTTAGATTTATAATAAAATAAGAAAAATAATTAATTATTAAAATTGATTTTTTTATATTTTAAATTTAAATAAATAAACAAAATAAACTAATGAGCTTTAACTTGGGAATTTTGAAATAAGAATGTAAGTCCATTAATGAAATTGATATTTATTTATTACTACAATTATTATAATTATTACATTGTGGAATTTATTAAAATAGATAAACCCATAAAATGACATGTGGAAAAGAAATTAATTTAAAATAACCATAAAATGACATTTGGCAAATTGAATAAGAGTGTGACATGTGGCAAAAAAAAACTTTCATTTATTAGAGTAGATTTATTAAAATTTATAAACTCATAAAATGACATGTGTAAAAGAAATTAATTTAAAATAACCACAAAATGACATTTGACAAATTGAATAATAGTGTGACATGTAGCAAAAAAAACTTTCATTTATTAGAGAGATGTAATTGTAAATAATTAATTATGATTCTAAACTGTGAGGTCAAATTTTATATGATTTTGTTAAAATTTTGAAATTGTATAATTGTTTGAACTTTAAATATAGGCTATGTGATGTTAGATTGGAATGAAAAAAATATTTTTTGTGTTGATTATATGTGCATCAATTGAATATTTCCAAAGCTTGATTTGAATACATGAATAAATTGGCAATATTTATGGTCTCGTGTCATTCATTAATGATTCATAGGTGGATGTTTAATATACGTAACAATAAGGAACACAAGGGGTCTTCTATATAAAGGGGATGTGATTTCTTTACACATGTATTGTTTTTAATGTAAGAGGAGAATAGAAAAACCACATGCAACTATTTTGTTGGCCCGAAGAGAGATTGTTTTGTCTACATGGGGTCCTTGAACATCCTTATGTATTTTTTTTCTTTGGTCTGTTTTAGCCAAGTTCACCGGTCTGATCATCTGTTACATTGTAACAGGAAAAAGTTCAAGGAACTATTGACCCCAGGGCCGGTCCTGAGGATGTAAATATACTCAAACGTCCGGGACGAGTCAAAGAAAATTGGCCCTTATCGTTATTATAAGTTTTTTATTTTTAAATAAATATATATATAATATTATATAATAAAAAATTGAGCTCTGTACAACTGTCCATTTTGCCCTCCCTCAATGCCCTATGATTGACCCAATCATGTTTCCATTAGATTTTTTTGTTCATAGATAGGGTCCTGAAACCTTTTTTTTATTTTCATTTAGTTCTCTTTACTTGGATTTTTTTTGTCGGGTGTGTTGGTACATGTTAATGTTGACGTCGTGAATGAGCTTGGCATATTAGTAATGATTAGGGGTGTGTATGAGGCAGTTTGGTTCGGTTATTGGTTAAAACCGAACCAAAACCATTATGATTGGTTAATGCATTTTGGTAGTCATTGGGTATGGTTAATATTGGTTATGGTTAATGGTTTTTATCGGTTAACGGTTTTGGTTAATGGTTAATATTGGTTAACCATAATGTTCAAAATAATATAAATGGCGAAAATATATTGACATAAAAAATGAAAATAGAATACCAAAAAGTCCTCGATGCCATTGTTTGTAACCTAGCTTATAGTAATTGAATAAAATGTGTACCTTTAATACTTAGAGTGATATAACACATAG